TATATATATATATATATATATATAAAGTTGTAAATGAACTGAAAAGATTAATTGCTCTAGGAGAAGCTAAATGATTTGCAGAGTATAAATAAAGTTGTAACAGCTAATTAAAAGTGGTAGTTAAAGGTTAAAATATGATAAATGATTTCAACAATGTAATTATTAAGATTATAAGAGAAAAATAATACTGGTAATTACAATTTTTTCTTATCAAAAAGTTGATGTTAGGCATTGCTAATAGCATATTGGTTGTACAGAAAAAAAAATATACCAACAATAAGACGAAGAAAGTGAAGATTTTGACGTGCTTAAATATTAAAAAACTAAAAAAATTTGTTATATTGTTTATAATGATTCAAGATGTATTTAGTATTCTCATTGCTATAGTGACATTAGAGTCAATTTGATGGGTATTATTTTCAAAATATAGAATCTCCATTCTTTCTGAACATATGCAAATGTGATTTGTAGTCAAAATTGGTTGTATGAGTTTTTTGAAAATCTTAATGGTAAGTTTATATGTTATTATTTTTAACATTACTTTATATTAAATTATTAACTTTAGACTAGTTGTTTGATTGTATTTCAATTGATTATGATAGATGAAATTGTAGAAGATATTTTTGGTCATGAGGGAATTATTGATGAATCTAAAGTTTTTGAAGATGTTGAAAGTCACCAACAATAATTCTTCAGGTTCTATTATATAATTTACGCAATTTTATATCAATTTCCAAATGACATGGATTTTCAAGTATTATGTCTTTCTATTGGTTGAATTTCATGTTTTGAATTATTACTGGATTATGTGTATACATGTAGGGGTAGGCAAATGGAACTGAACTGTACTGCACTACTAAAAGTTGTACTAAAACTAATTTGTCTAAACTGTTACAGTTTAGACAAACTGAACTGAACTGTTTTTTATTTTATCAAACTGAACTAAACTATACTAAATTGTACTAAACTACAATATAAACTGAACTGAACTACTAACTGTACTAATTTTAAACTAAATTGTATTAATTTTGAACTTAATTGTACTAATTTTAACACTGCACTAGTTCTAAAACATGTTTTTAACACTATCTAATAACAAAGTAACGGTTAACTATGTAGAACTATATGACTTACTAAACTATGGAAAATGTAACAGAAGCTATATCAAAAAATTCTAATTGATAAAAATTAATATGCAAAATTAGAACAAAATAATTACTAAAATTAACAAAATTAAAACTTTATTAACTAAAACGACACGTGAAATACATTAATTAAAAATAAAAACAAAATTATATTTAAGCCCATGTTTTATTATCCAAAACCTTTTCTTAATGTGACATTATAAATATGGTATTTTTTATGGCTTTATACAATATCGACATTATGGTTATATTTAACAACCTGAAATAAAACTAAGGAAAAAAATTCATAGAAGATTAATTATAAAAATTAAAAATAAAAACGAATAACTCCTCTTTCATGGGAAAAAAATCTAACCAACATTATATTATATTATTTTATTTTATTTTATTTATTATAAGGAAAAGTTTATTCTGTCATGTCGCGTTTTCCGAAACTTAACTCTGAACAGTGGGTAGATGACGACACCATTTTTGGATCTGTGATACCGAAGCAAGCACAATTAATCAATCTAAGTATTGGTTTTGCAATGTTTTCTTAACCTGGAAGAAAGAATAGATATAATTTTCATCATTAACTGAATCGAAAATGTTATAAGTTCAGTTTTTTAAAACTAAACCATAAAACAATATATTGAACTTGTGGATCATGTTTTTTTTTATAATATATACGGTACAAATAAGTTATTTTTGTCTAGTCCTGTATACATGTATGAGATGTTTTGACTTCTACATAGACATGTCACTGCTGCATGCGGGTACAAACATTCATTGCCAATTCTCACACATGCAAAATTTCAGATGTTAAATGATTTGAGGAAAAAGGAACAGAAAGAACGCAGACTAGGGGATTTGAGAGAAGGATTACAACTATATAAGTAAGAATTAGCAATCCAAAATCATTCTTTTTTACATTTATGGTGCATCCAGTATTCCTTTCTATCCTTTGTTTGTCTAGCCCTTAACATTTCAGAATATTAGTCTATTCTTCGAAAGGGATGAAATGCAACATCTTTGGAAGAACTAAGAAACATTCTGAATATAGTATCAAACAATTGTCTCCAATTGATGATTGATATACTGTCTTTCATCGGCAATTATTCTGGAAATTTTAGTTTTGAATCCTAAATGTTGTTCTGTTGCTCAGTCATTGATTGAAACCTTACCCAAATATGGCCAAGGGCCTAAATAACTGGTTAAAGAAAATACCTGCTTCTCTTTCCAAAATCTCAATTTTCATCATATCTCGGTTAAAATTCTAACAAATGATGTTATCTCACTGATAATGTTATTGTGCACTCTGTTCCTGGATTAAATGCTGAAGGAATGGAAGTTATAATGAAGCACTAGAGAAATTTGAGTCTATTTTGGGATCAAAGCCAGAACCTGAGGAAGCTGCAGTTGCAAGTTACAATGTTGCTTATTGTTACTCTAAGCTAAACCAAGTATATGTTTCCTACCATTTTCTCTCTTGGAACATGCAACTTGACCTGACCTTGGATTAGTTCCTTATTATCCATGCTGAATAGACACCAACAAGAACAACGTACAGTTGAAAATAAGATTGATTTTATTATTCATAATCATAAAAAATACATTTTCATATATTCTATTTGTAACAATCTAATTATCCTAAAATGAGAAATAGGGAAACTAGGTAAACAAAATAAAATAGAAGCAACAACAAGATGAGTTCCATGATAGGTTGGATCAATTAGAGAATAAAATCCCACCAGGAAGAGGAAGGCCAAATAGAAATGAGGGAAGAATAGAAGGAGTAAAATTGAATGTGCCACCTTTTAGGGTAAGAGTGATCTTGAAGCTTACTTGGAGTGGGAGCTCAAAATTGAGCATGTATTTTCTTGCGATAATTATAGTGAGGAGCAAAAGAATAGTAAAATTGAGCATGTTCCTTTGATGAGTTTTGAGTTTCTTTCTTTTGTGATTATGTGAATAATGATTTCACTGATGATTTAATGTGTGTTTGGTATAATATATGAAACGTTTGAATGATTCATGAATGAAGTTATGATTGAGGTAAAGTGTGGTTTGAAAAGAATTTCTAAGGTGAAATTCTTATTGGTGGTTTCAAGTGTTGTTAGTATGAATGTAGGAAGCTAAGTACTATTGGTTTATTCTGACACTCTGACGGTTATCCATTCTCAAGTAAAGAGGGGTGAAACATGTGGTGAGAGTAGCAGGAGGTCTTAGTTGAGGGACTTTACCTTAGCCAAAGACATTGTTTAATGGACTAACTTTGTGTGGTAACTTGGGATGGACCGGTTATTTCACCACTACAAATGCATGAACCACCATAGTTTGACATTTATACTATATTTGGACGAGTCAAGTCAACGTTTATTATATGTTTTTAGGATGTTTGATTACTTGGCTTGGAATTGTGATATGTGTTGAAGTCTTAATTATTCTATGATAATTCTGTTTACACTAGTTTACCTTGTTTGTTTCCTTATGTGTTTGGGTATTCTTGTTACTTTTGTGTTTCAGTTATGATTATATTGGTAGGTATGAGTAGAGGGTAGAGATGTGTCTCTCGAGCAAGTTTCAGGTAATGATAATATAATTATAAATATTAGTTCTCATGCGTTTAAATTTTGATTGTATATTTGAAAATCCTTCATGTATAGTTTTTGGTTTAAAATGTTATTTATAAAATTTAATTTATGGTTATATTTAGATAACTATAATACTTTGTATGTCTTTGATAACTTTGTTATCATATTAAGATGTGTGATAAATCCTAAATAATATTTTAACTATTTAACTGAGATATTACATATTCTACTTATCTTCATGTAATTATTACAATTTAGAATAATTCGACCAAAAATTTATGTCGGGCGGTTTGAATTAAATGAAAGTCATTTCCTATTATTAGGGTTTTTGTCTTTGTTGTATTTCCCTCGTCCGTTAGAATGAAAAAAGGGTATTAGCGTCATTTATTATTATTAGGGTTTCTGTCTGTGTTGTATTTCCCTCATCCGTTTCGATGAAGAGAGGGTATTAGCGTCATTTGCAATTATTAGGGTTTTGTGTTTATAGAGGAGAATATTCGGAAACCCTAATTACTCAAATCCAACCTCTCCAACTACGCCTCTTCGACTCCCGCAGCCATGGCCGCTGCCGACTCCTCCGCCGCCGCTCCTTTACGCCAGCTCTCGCAGAAGGAGACGGACATCCAGATGATGCTCGCCGCCGATGTGCATCTCGGCACAAAAAACTGCGACTTCCAAATGGAACGCTACGTCTTCAAGCGCCGCACTGACGGTCAGTCCTCATTCTCAAATTCTCCTTTCTACTTTTATTTTCTTTCATTTATTTATCCATTGTCTCGAACACTGGCCATTTACGTGTTCTTAGTTTTTCTGTGTTGTTATATAACGGAATATGTCTGTGTAATATAAATAGGTTTCATTTTGATACATCACCATTGGGTTTCAGTTAAATTCATGTAGTTATACATAGTCACCAAAATGTAGAATTCTAGATACCTTTGAATCTCCTTCATAGTGGCCATGATCTTGTAGTAATAGCCATGTTTGTTTTATGAGTTTTCTAAATTTTGAGGACTTTTTGAGAGGTCAGTGATCCATGCCGTTTGATAATTGTATGGTCTTTTAATATTCAATCCTGAAATACGTTTTCTGTTGTGTGTATGATTTAGGCCATTGGATAAATTTCTCCCTAAATATGTACGGAGGAATAAATCAAGAATGTTAGAATTGAGTTTCTCCAAATGTTAAAATCAACTAATGTTAATTTCTCCAATGATTGACGTGCATAATTTGATTTTATATTATGGAGATACTGAATTCATTTTGACTTCGTAGTTTTTTCTCCATTATATGTTTACAAACTGGTTTAACCAAGCAAGGTTTTAGTTGGACTCTTACTGATTTGAATTTTTTAAAAGTGGTTTTTCTGGTGCTTTCTTTTTCTAGCACTGTTATATAGTTTTGCTCTTGCTACTAAAATAAAAAGTTTTGGAGTTTTTTGTTGAATTTTGGGGTTATGGTTGTTCAGGTATATACATAATTAACCTTGGCAAAACATGGGAGAAGCTCCTTCTTGCTGCTAGGATAATTGTTGCCATTGAGAACCCACAAGATATTATTGTTCAGTCCGCCAGGCCTTATGGTCAGAGGGCAGTGCTTAAGTTTGCTCAATACACCGGGGCTCATGCAATTGCAGGAAGGCACACTCCTGGAACATTCACCAATCAGATGCAGACATCCTACAATGAGCCTCGTCTTCTAATTCTCACTGATCCAAGAACAGATCATCAGGTTATTTATCTCTTGTAGAAGTTATAACCAGAGTACTGCAGGCATATTGAGAATGTTTTGAATTTCTGATAGTAATTGATGTTGATATTGTTATACTGTGCATGATCTGCCACACTTTGCCTTATGTTATTGATCTCTGTGCAGCCTATTAAGGAAGGTGCTCTTGGCAACATTCCCACTATTGCCTTTTGTGACACTGATTCTCCAATGCGGTATGTTGACGTTGGGATTCCGGCCAATAATAAGGGGAAGCATAGCATTGGTTGTCTGTTTTGGCTTTTAGCTCGCATGGTGCTGCAGATGCGGGGTACTATTCGTCCAGGTCACAAGTGGGATGTAATGGTAAAACACCTGTTGCTTTTATGAATTAAATGGTGGCTGTTCCATATCTTTAGAGAAGTCTTAGTCTGTTGGCGTATGTGTGTACTCTTGTAAGAAATAAGTTTTATTTGGGAGCTTTCCTTGACGTTTTTGGATTTGTAACCAATTATCTAAATTTTTCTTATGCAGGTGGATTTATTCTTCTATAGAGAACCTGAAGAAGCCAAGCAACAAGAGGAAGATGAAGCACCACCTGCCCAAGATTTTGCCATCGATTTCAATGATACTGCCATTAGCAGCTTCCCTGCCGACAGACAATGGCCTACTGCACTCGACCAACCTTGGACAGGGGACGCTCCACAACCAATTCCAGCAGTTCCTACTAACTGGACCCCAGAAACAGCTGGTACGACTATGAATTATTGAATTTACTTTGGATCCTTGCTTTATGATGATGTTGTACTAAAATTTAACTGCGGTGATTGAGGATGAATAAGTTCAGCTTCGTCATATAGCTTGTTTATTATCCTAAAATCTGTCTGGATTTGAATTTGAGATAATGCAATCTGCGTCTATCTTTATTTTATAAATTGTATGCAAAAATTGTACTAATCTGTGACTTTGCTATGATTCAACATTTCCTGTTCCCCTGGTGCACAAAGACAGAGAATTTTTTATTCTGCAGTGATAAGATGATGGGACACGCACCATACTTTTTCTGTTACCATTTTCTTATAATTGTTTTGAAATTTGTGTAATCACAATTTGTTTGACTAATGTTCCTTTTACAGCTGCAGGAGATTGGGGCGAGGCTGTTCCTGCACCGGTTCCTGCTGCCGTACCGGCTCCACAAGTTGGTGTGCCTCCAGCCCAAACTTTTCCTGCTACTGGCTGGGACTAGGACAAGATATTTTGATTCCATGGTGTTAAAACCATAGTTTTTCTTCCCCTCGGCTCAGAATTTTCCCTTCCGAGATTATCTTACAAAAGAAACATAATTTGCTTCTCAGTAAAATTTTGTTTGTTGACATATTGTAGGAAATTTTATCATTTAAATTTAATAATTATTTATTTCATAATGGAACTAGTTTGAGACCTCCATCCCCACGGGTCGCTTTTTTTTTATATTACTTTATTAAATTAAAAAAAAAGTTGAATTATATTTAGTATGATATTTATGAAATATTTTTATAATTTATTTTATATATTACCATTATTTTAATTTTATTAATAATATATTTTAATTACGGATATATATTATTAAATAATTGTGAGTAAAAGTTAAACATTAATATTTACTTTTTGGTATTGTATTTAAAAAAATATTTAAAATATTGATTAAAAATTTTGTATACTATTTTTAAAGTATTTGAAGAGAGTTTTATTATAGGTTTTTTATAAATTTTTAATTTGATTTTATATTTTAATATTTTTTAATGAATTATTATGATTATTTTTATGATAATAATATTATAACATTAATATTTTGAAATGGTTATATGTTATATGTTTTAGAATTGTAAAAGTTAAAAGTTAATATTTACTTTATTGTATTGTATTTTTAAAAAAATATTTAAAATATTTTGTAAAGTATTTTGAAAGTATTTGAAGAGATAGTTTTATTATAGGTTTTTTATAAATTTTTAATTTGATTTTATATTTTAATATTTTTTAATGAATTATTATGATTATTTTTATGATAATAATATTATAACATTAATATTTTGAAATGGTTATATGTTATATGTTTTAGAAATGTATTAGTTTAAGATCATAAAACCAACCTTAGACCAGCCATCATACAAATAAAATTGGGTTCATGATCAGATTTAGCCCCTATAAAATATCAAAAAGTGCGCTTCTGAGGGTGCTTGTAGAACCCAAAAATTTAATGAGAGGAAAAACACAGAACAAGCAATTCTTTGTGCCGCTGACTTTGTACTGCTGGCCACGCCTTTAATATCGCTGGGTGCCATTCCTTCTACATTTTTGGAAATTGTGTTACATGATTTTTATGATACCTGTTGCTACATTAATATTGTCTTTGTATTTGGTTTGTAAAATAAAACAAAGGTATGAATGGTTGGCTAAATCTCATTGAAGATATTTTTTCTAGTATGCATAACCAGGTGGGAAAATGTGGTAGGTAATAAGAGTTGTAGGAGGTTATGGTTTAAAGAAAATTGTAGTTTTATGATAATAAAGAATTAATCTTATGAATGGTAGGGTAAAGTCTATTTTCTGTAATGTAGTAGTAGATGTCAATACAAAAGCAAAACCTGATGAGATTTGACATTAATGTTTGTTTTTGAATGATTAATTCTAGAAGACTTTGATTGTATCTATGTATGCTTTTATATGAAAATTGAATGACATTGTATTTTAAAAGTATGTTATCTCTTTTTCACCTAACTTACTTTATTTGTATATTTTGTGACTGTTGTGTTGTTTTTTTTTTTTTTTACAATTATTACCTTATTAATATGAGTAGGCGAAGATGCATGTGTGTAGTGATGCCTGTTGTGGACGAGGAGCTAATTGTCTTAGTTATAGTTAATATTAGAACATAATAGATATAGTTTTGTAATAAAAAAATAATAAAGTAGCCTAATATATGAATGATATTATTATAATTCTATCTTATAAAACTATATTAATATATAATATACATTGAATTATCATTTTATTTCTCAATATTTATAATAAAGTATTTTATTTTAATAATGTTATATGACACCCTTAATCACTTAAGTTAAGGTTGATATTTTGGTATTAAGTAAAGTTTTTATACATGTATTTGGAATGCTTATGCTGATCGGGTTCAACAATTTTTCGTTATTGATATAGTACTGCAAAATTTATCTTTGATAAGAAATACGTATTAATGAGTCAAAAGGATAGTCAATATTTTGATGTGAAAGTTAAACACAACAAAAATAGATGATACCATGAATCTTTTGTGCTTGTAGATTCAAAATTGATCTGTAACATTTGTAACAAAATCTTTAACCCCAAAATCAACTTAACACGGGTAAAAATACACCACACCCCAAACTAAATACAACTTCAAATAAAGAACACAAAACTCTAAAAAATAATAAACTTCTCGCGAAAAAAAAAAAACAAACATGTACCACAACATTTAAACCAAGAAAAAAAGAAAGATAATTGAAATGTTACAACTCAAAAAAATCATCATTAAGATTGGATGAAAGTGGAGTTTGATTGATATGTGAAGTGATTAACTCTAATACTAAATAATTTCAAATAAAGTATGATTACTAATAATTGAATCGAATCGTAATTAAATCGTTATTAATAAAAAAATTATTTTAAAATATATAAATATAAGTTTAAGAGAAGAAGGAATGTAACTGTATGTACTATACTAATAATATTTGAATAATTAAACCTTAAATTAATTTTAGTTTCGAAATATCTTATAGGTATCCTTCAAACTATTTTGAACGAACATTAACAAAAAAATTTAACTTGGAAAACAATTTTGAATAAAACTTTTTTTTAAACATTTCACATTATCTTACATCCTAACGGTGAGAAGACACATATATTTAGAGAGATTCAAAAGTATAATGTTGACATTTATCAAAAATACAAGTATAGGTAGTTTAGATATTACACAAGTACATTATATTTCAATATTTATAGTTGATTTAACTTGTTTTATTACATATATTATTGCGTGTATTTCGTAAATAGTTAATTTAAGCTATTTTATTTCATTATTTGATCGAATTTCTTATAGAAAGAATTTTATATTTAAATGCCTCTCAGTAAAACAATTTTTTTTCAATCAACCATTTTTCTAAGAATTCAGTGTCTTCTGTTAAGGACTTGAGTTCAAAACTGGGCTTACAAAAGACTTCACTTTATTTGAATTCATGAAAGACAATGCATTTATTAAATTGTAATTATATAAATCTAAGAATCGGTTTTGAGAATGGTTTAGAAGTGTTCTTGTTGTAATTATTAATGAAAGAACAAAACGTTAATTTTGACATTAAACAAATGACATTTTTTTTCCTCAAAAAATAATTAATTTTATTATGCTAAAATTAAAATTTGTATAAATAAGATATTCTTATATATAATTAAAGAAATGTTAGCTTTAATATTTTTTAAAAATTACAAATTTATATATTGCAATTAAAATTTGAACATGTATAGATCCTAATTTATTATTTTGTCTTTATTCACACAACTGGTTTTCTCTACACATATAAAACTTTAATATATTGATTTTTCTCTACATTCGGCCCATGCGATCCACGAGTTAATACACGTGACAAATTATTTGCGAAACCTACCTTTGATATTTCTTCAAAGGTTATTCAACATTTAAAATGAGAGGTGCACATTTTCCACCTAATCCAAAGTTGAATTTTTGTAAAATAATAATCATATTAACTACTTGTTGATTTATATAATATATGAATATATATTTTATATTTCAGAGTTTTTAATTAATTATAGATTAAAATTAAATTCATGATTTTTTATAATTTTGAAATAGATCTCTAGATGTAGTTTACAAAAATGTAATCTTTGAAGAATTTGAATAAATATTTTTTATACTATTTTCTATTTTAATCACGTTTTTTATTTAATCAACTCAAATTTGAGATCTATTTATCGAAACCAAATCCTGTACCATTGTTAGTCGTTTACTAAAGTTTAAAATCACTAAAAAAATCACATTCTCTTTGTGATTTCATTAATTTTAATAGTAAATTAAAAAAATGTACGAGATCAATAACTCAATTACAAGTCTTTTGTGTAAAATCTAATTTTTAATTTTTAAAAATTAAAAAAAATGTAAAATGTACAAGATCAATTGCTCAATGACAACTTTTTTAATGTAAAAGTTTAATTAACAGCGTTCAAAAGTATATAAAATTCTTTGAATGAGTCAGTTGAGAAGCTTTTTTCAGGAGAAAAATAATAATTGAGAAAATAAAAAAAAAATTTTTTTTTCCAAATTAATTTAAGAAACTCCAAGTGTTATTTTAATTTCATACATCCCTTCATCCATACCGTGAGATTCACGAGTCCTTATTATAATAGTAAATAAGTTACTCAATGTTACATTGAATATTCATGGTACTTTTTTCATGATTCCTCTGTTCTTTCTCCAAGAGCTCATCTCATATATATGCCATGAAGCCACCAACATCACACTAACACAAAACTTCCCACTCTTCATTGGATCTACCATTCTACAACCATCTTCTCCACTGATCTGTTTCTCTCTCTAAAGGTACCTGCATTTCTCCTTTCTTTCTGCACTCATTTCAGTATGCTGTTCAGTTTCTCTCTTTTTTATTTTTTCTTTGTGATTCTTTTGCACTAAAAATTTGATTTTGATTGGAATTTTGAGGACCCTTAAGCTGTTTTGATCTGGGTTTTTCTTGTTTTATGTTGAAGCAATGGCCCGCAAGAAGATAAGAGAGTATGACTCCAAGAGGTTGTTGAAGGAGCACTTTAAAAGACTCTCTGGCCAGGACTTGCCCATCAAGTCTGCACAAGTAAGCATTATCTTAGTTTCTTTTTTTTTATTATATTAAAATTAGTAATGAATGAACACTGTTGAATATATAAATGTATAATTTAAATTGTGATGAGGGATTATTTTTTATTATTGATAATTTATTTAGAAAACTGTGAAAGCAAATCAGATACAGAAGTAGAGGGAGTGAAAACTTCACTCTCAATTTGTTTTATGATTTATAATAAGGAAGTAAATTTCCAAAATAGTTTATGTTGGCTTGGCTGTGAATCTTATACCTTAAAAATTCTGATGGGTTTTGTAATCCTTTGCTTGATTATAGGATTCTGTTTATCTGAAGCCAATGTAATATCTCAAACACCTTCTAAATTCTGTCCTAGATAGTGATAGCTAGTAAATCTGGTGATTGAACTTCCAACTAGTGTTACTTTGCCTATGGTCACATAATTGCACTGCATTAATCCGATAATGATCTTCAAATCTTACAGCTTATTGTTAATATGGTGTGTCTTCATATGACAATTTAATCACTGTTTTAAAGCTGAGTAAGACTATATGATGTGTAACTGATTTGTGGAAAATAAATTTGCGTCTTACTAGTCAACCAGTGCAGTGTGCATATCAAACATGAATAATAAATTTGTTGTGTTCTATTTTTCAGGTTACAGAATCCACTGATTTTAATGAACTACCTGAGAAGGAACCATGGCTTTTATCTTCAAAATTGGTTGTGAAACCAGACATGCTATTCGGAAAGCGTGGCAAAAGTGGTTTGGTTGCCTTGAATTTGGATTTGGCAGAAGTTGCTTCTTTTGTGAAAGAGCGTCTTGGCAAAGAGGTGTTTTTTCCCCGTTTGTCCTTCCAAACCTTAACTTATTTTTCCTTTCTCTTAATCACCAATCACCATTTCTTTTTACTTTCTGTCTACTCTTGAAGTGTTTATTTATATATTTGTTGATCATGTAGGTTGAGATGAGTGGATGCAAAGGGCCCATAACAACTTTCATTGTTGAACCTTTTATCCCTCACAATGAAGAGTTTTACCTTAACATTGTCTCAGAGAGACTAGGGAACAGTATAAGCTTTTCTGAATGTGGAGGAATTGAAATTGAGGAGAACTGGGATAAGGTACCAAAATTTACTTTTACCTTACATATAAATTATTTCAAGTAAATTCTTCTCACATCTTCCTTGTAATTCCCATAAGCTACAAAGTGGTTTGTTCATATTTCAGGTCAAGACTGTATTTATGCCAACAGGACTGTCTCTTACACCTGAGAGTATTGCTCCACTTGTTGCAACACTTCCCTTAGAGGTATGTTAATCTTAGTCATTTTTTAGATTTTTAATAAGATAATTACTTTTTTGGTTATTCAGTAGGACCACGGGATTGAATACACATTTTGTTTCAATTACTTATAAGTGCTTCATTCATGCTTACAGATCAGGGGAGAAGTTGAGGAATTCCTCAAGGTGATTTACACTCTATTTCAAGGTATATTACATAATATACTTTTACTAACATTAGATGTGCTTATGAAGAAAAGTTCATTGATGGTTGTATTTAAAGTTACAGTTTTAAACATTTTCTTTTCTTATTTTATTTGTCTTCTGTTAGACCTGGATTTCACTTTCTTGGAGATGAATCCTTTCACTTTGGTCAATGGAAAGCCTTATCCTCTGGACATGAGAGGCGAACTTGATGACACTGCTGCTTTCAAGAACTTCAAGAAGTGAGTTTTTCCTCTAAAGAATATCAACTGTTATTTATAGGATGAATATCGTGTCTCTTGACTCTAATTCATCATGTATAATTAAATAATGTTTAATAGTAAAAAAGAAAAAGTGAACCATGCAAGTTATTCTTATTTACAGATGGGGAAACATCGAATTTCCATTGCCATTTGGAAGGGTAATGAGCAGTACAGAGGCTTTCATTCATGGATTAGATGAAAAGGTGAACAAAAAATTACTACTTCTAATAATCATGAATTCATGGAACTACAAATTATGTTTCTTAACAATGTTATGTTGTTTGTTTATTTTCTTCTCCCAGACAAGTGCATCTTTAAAATTCACAGTTTTAAACCCGATGGGCCGAATTTGGACAATGGTAGCTGGGGGAGGTGCTAGTGTGATCTATGCTGATACGGTGTGTTTATATTACTTTAGAAGTTAAATTCAGAGCTAATTATGTTATATTGTAACATTAAGCAAAAGACTCTTTCTTACATACTAATTTATTAAAACAGGTAGGTGATCTTGGTTATGCTCCTGAGCTAGGAAATTATGCAGAATATAGTGGTGCGCCAAAGGAAGATGAGGTCCTGCAGTATGCCAGGGTTGTGATTGATGTAATTATCTCAAACATTAGTGATGAATATTTATCATCAATTTATGGATACAATACATGATCATACATTCCTTGTTTGGAGTGTGTGAAAACGGCTTATCAAATGGATGCTACTTTGTAACATGATATAGTGATTGTTTCTCTCTATGGAAATCTCTTTGCAGTGTGCAACTTCAAATCCTGATGACCAAAAGCGAGCCCTTGTGATAGGTGGAGGAATAGCTAACTTTACTGATGTTGCTGCTACATTCAGCGGCATAATCCGAGCTCTGAAGGAGAAGGTGAGAACATATATCATCATGAAGATTTTTTTCATGCCATATTAATTTGCTCATGGTAGAGTCAATTGATTGCTGACTTATTATAAACCAGGAACAAAAGCTAAAAGAAGCAAAGATGCACATCTATGTGAGGAGGGGTGGTCCCAACTACCAGAGTGGTTTGGCAAAAATGAGGGCCCTTGGAGAGGAGATTGGCATTCCCATTGAGGTTATATAACAAAATGATGCCATTATAGATTGCATTGAGAAACCATCTGAACTTATTTTTCTTATCTATATTTTGGTATCTTTGCAGGTTTATGGACCTGAAGCAACAATGACTGGTATATGCAAACAGGCAATCCAATACATCACTGCTGCTGCTTAATTATCCATTCTTAGGCCAGTGTGAACTTCTTTTACAAATATTGTCATGGCTGATTTGAAGAGATTTTACTCTGTCCAACTCTCAGAAATTATTGCTTTGGTGAGTTAGAGTGCAGGCTGTTATAAATTAGTCATCCAATAAAGTGGTCAAGAATGTTTTGTATCTTCCAGAATTCTGATAGTACATTAGTGACACCATAAAATGTTACAAGTGTAATTGTTTTATGTTAAGTCAAACTACAATTTCATGGTTCACTGATTTACTTCATTAACTAAATTGTTTTTCTTTCCATTTGTGAGAACTTAAATTCTGCTTGAAAGGGTATCTCAGCAAGCTTGTTTAGATATATGCAATTATGAGTAAAATATAAGTCCGGCTTCAATTATAAGTAACTCAAACTCATATAACACATTAGAATTATATTTTATCAATAAAGAAACTCATGAAATGTAGCTAAACAATTCCCATTGTGGATGATGTTGAAATTTGTCATTCTACTTTTTGTTTTCTACAGTCTGTAATAGAAGCTTTTCCAAATTCTCTGAAGAGAACAAAAGGGCATGCTTGAGTTATTTTGATTGATAATATACCCACCAAACCGTTATGACAAAGCTTTAGAAAAATCAAAACTAAAAAAGTGTAAAAGAAATTTCAAATATGATAAACATAAATTTGGAATAGGGTTTTTTAGTCTACCAGGATGTGTCCCCACACTCAGTGGATGGTACTAATTCTCCAGCTGGGGTATCTTATGACCTAAACATTCCTTGCCACAAGGAAATGCTGAGATTCAAATCATATAACATAATAGCTTGTTAAAAGTAAATTCATTTCTTTCATATTTTACTCTTATAAAAACTTTTTGGAAAAGTTTCTCCAAAATTCTAACACTAATAAAATTAGTTTATGCAATGTTAAAATGCAACGCACAAAAGAGGAAACTTAATCCGCTGTAAAACTCACTGTAAATTCATTGAATGCGAAGGCTATTAAATAGCCGTGTACAAACGCAATAATACTGGACTGAATAAAAACAGGAACGAAAAATAACAATAGCCAAATATGTGGACCGAGCTGCTACAGTTCAACCGAAAACAACGAATAAAACCAGCCATTAACTACTGAATTGTTACAATAAACGAAATATAAACGCCTAACCACTAACTGAGCTGCTACAGTAAAGGCAAAAAAACTATCCAGATTTAGTGGGAAAAAAAACAAGACTCCTACAAAATTACAAAAGTACATTTTCTTAATTTAAATTTATCTAATAAAATTCTCCCATAAACTTAAATTCTTTCTTTTTTTCGTCCTCATCACTCCTTCCTTAATTTTTTCTTGGATAAAATGAAAATAAACGTCAATATGCTAACTTATCTCATAGTTTATTATGTTCTTTGTTAGCTCGATCACTGATTTATTATCTACTCGGATTAACGCCTTCTCTTCTTACATTATTTACAAATTCCGTAACAAGTTTATAAGCTAGATTGCATATCGGATACTTAAAGATGCTGCCATATATTCAGCTTTACACATTGATAGTGTCACAATGGGTTGTTTCTTTGAGAGCCAATTAAATGTTGTATTTCTCATGAAGAATACATAATAATGAGTCTCTTCTGGTCATCTACATCTCCTCACCAATCACTGTCCCAATACCCACTAAGCCTGTAGATGTCTAACTTAGTGTACAATTCCTTTTGATGCTGGTTCATCAAAATCAGAAGGTAAAGAAGAAATCTAGTTTCAGTTTGAGTATAAAATATAGTTATTATTTCAAGCATCATAATAGCTTCAAAGAAAGAAATTAAAATCAAGCATAAAGTATGATGTACATTAGGATAAGCTCATTTTTCCTGCTTAGCTGCTTCCAATAAAATTAAGTCATGTCAGATTGTTCAAAGTTGAGGCCTTGCAAAGCTTGTATAGAAGAGTTTTGAACAGCTGATTTTGCTAGTTAACAGAGAATTACCAGGGTAGTCTAAATTGTTGTTAAAAAAGATTTGGTGAGGTCACAATGCCAAGTGTTGCTTCTTCTTCAAGAGGTGGTGACTGCTTCAGAGCTTCTTCAGTGTTGCTTTCAAGTGTGGTTGAAGACTTACTGTGTTGGTAGCCATCTGAACCTCATAACAAAGAACCCCATCAACTACCTTAAAACTTCTTCTTATCTCTTTAACCTGGGTAGAGTGGTATCAAGTATTTTAGGCACTGATGTCAATTAAATCTTGTTTTAGTTAGAATTTAGCATAATACATTGTTTGAGCTTGAATTTTGAATATTTTCATTTCTTTAGTTAGAATTAACATCTTTGTTTACTATTACTTTTCTTTTATGTTTTCATTAATTAAGAGAGTAACTTTCTCTAATTCTAAAAGTGGGCCCAAGCCCTTGAGAGCTATTAGATTTTATTATATTTAACTTTTGTTCTTTTTTATTTTCTCTTGAACTATCTTCCATTGATTTTATCTATGAGAAGCTTTAAACGATCATTTTTCATAACCATAAACAGCAAAGGAATGACTGGAAAGGGATCTTAATCGTAGGACTTCAATCACCATAATAGGCTTAAATCCTTTGAGAAAGCAATAGATTGAAAAAATGCTTCATGTAACTACGTAAATGGGTAAATCTTTTAAATTTAAAATTCAGTGTTTTCTATTGAAGTCGTGCTTCAAAGCATTTTCAAATCGTGCTACATGGCACAATTTTTTTTTTTGACAAATGTAGAAACCACAAATTTGTGTACAAGTTGTGTCTTACAAATGTATCGAATATAAGTCAACCCCAAGACCTAGAAGACAAATAAAAAGATTAACTTATAGCACCACCTTACAATTTTTTGTTTACATTTCCTTAACAATGTTATTGTTAAAATTTTATTTTCATTTGAATTTGGTTTACTTGATCAAGAGTTTAATTTACTGCTATTTTTTTATTTGCTCAAATTTCATTCAAATAATAAATAATATGATTAAAATTAATTGATTAACCAAATTATCTAAAAATATAAAAAAGGTCCCTATCAAATAAATAAAAAGTACATAACCTAACAAAAGTAAAAGAAAATAAAACAACATTAAAAAATACAATTACAAACAATTATATCAAAGTAATAAGCTAAACTTTTGTTTTATTATAGTTTATTTTCAAAATCAAATCCTATTCGGGCCCTCCAATTACCATTCTTTAAAATAATAATAAAACCAAAATCATGCCATAAAAGCACGATTTTAACAAATAAAAACCATGCCTTAAAAAATTATTTTCACATAAAAAAAAAAGGAAGCAACCATTGCTATGAAACACAATTTAAAATAAAGAGAGAAGTTTTGTTTTGAAATACAGCATCAATAAAAAAAAATTGATCCAAAATTCGTGCTTGAAAGCACAACTATTACATTTTAAAATTGTGCTTGCACCCATGTTTGTAAATTTTAAACATTTATATAATTATATAGTGCAAAATTGCACCAATTAAAAAACAAAACACTCACGAGAACTGGGGTTATTCTTAGGTTAAATCATCTTTAAAGAGAGTAAAAAGATTATGAAGATAAAGAAGTATGCCAATAAAAAGTCTTGGTGTAAAACTTGACCCTCGAGGTTTTTTTCTATTAAATTAATCCAAATTAAATTGCATTCTTGCTTTGATTCTAAATTTCCTCCTTGAATTCTCTATTCTGAACTGAAAACTCAGTTTAGTTATTTATCCCTTAGATTAAATTAATTAGAGATGACTACCAAATCAAGCATGTGGTTCTTGTAGATTCAATGTCATTACTTAGAAGAACATACATTTTCAGCTTTCACATACCACGTAGCAATACCACATAAGAGTGAGAAATGAGACATTCCAACTTTCTTCTTTAATCAACGTAGTAAGGTTGGTAGCAAGGTGTTTCCTTAATCCAACATAGTTATCTAATTTGTTTTACCATTGGGGTATAGAGTGAAGTATGACAAAGTATTTCCTACAGTAAACATAACATACCATCTAAGGAGAGAATAAAGAAGCAATGATAACAATCTGCATGATAACATTACATAAAAATCTTTTGCCAAAAGGTAACAACCAAAATGAGGTATTACTTCAATGGGGGTTATTATTAGTCAGTGATTCATAAATTTATTTAAAATACATGTAAAATGAAAAGCACATTGAATGATTTCATCTACCAAATGTTCAGAAGTCCTCACCCGACTTCCCTCTATTTCTGTAGATTTCTGTTTACTAATCATTGTTGTCACAACAACAAAAAGTCTTTATCTCATTAGATGAGATTCACTATATGGACTGCAATACGCCTTTAGGCTCAACTAGATTAAATTCGGAAGCATATTATTAACCATAAAAATCTGTCTAAACAGTTATTTTCAATGTCCTTGATCTCCCTTTCTATCTTTTTGCAAAGCTGAAAAAATGTAATCTATTCTCATCGTTAATGCTTCCATTGACTTTCTTTTCACGTGTTCAAACCAACAAAATCAATTTTCTATTATTTTTCCCAAGTAAATGTCACAAATTTCTTCTAGTTCACAATTAGTTTGTATTCTATCAATTTTTGTGTGACCACACATCCAGCTTAATATTCAATACCATAATGTATAGTTGTATAGACAAGAATGCAATAAAGCTTTCATGAGTTTGTTATACTTGAGATATGAAATAGATCCCTGTTGCCTTTCTCCATTTTATCCATTATATTGTGTGCTACATCTTTATTAAGTCCTCCATTATTTGTAATATTAATTAATTCTGGGTATTAAACTTAGAAAAACGTGTCATAACATCTTATTGCTGTTTTACTTATAATTGTTTTCTCTTATATCTAGCTAAAATTGCAATGCATATACTGTGTCTTGTTCCTACACAAATAAAAGTCCTTTGCTTTCAAAGTTTGTCTCCAAAGCTTAAGTTTAGAGCTAACATCTTCTTTTGATTCCTCAATCCACACTATATCATCCAAAACAAGTATGTAATTAAGGACAGTCTTATGTTGACCCTGGTAACCACATCCAAGATTAGATTAAACATGTTAGGACTTGAAATTGAGCCATGATGTAATCCAATTCTTATAGAAAAGACTTTAGCCTCACCACCAAGTTCTCTCACTAATAATTATCCATCACATGTTTTAGTCATGGACTACTTTTCCAAAGGCTTCCACATAGCTTCATTTGATACTCGATTCCAAGCTTTTTCCAAGTCAATAAAAACTATATGTAGGCATTTTTCTTCACCATTATCCATCCTCTTAAAGATTTCTTTTATCTCCAACACGAATTCTACAACATGAATCTAAACTTTATTCATCCTCATAAATTTCTAGTGCTTCCATATTATAAGTCAATCCTTGTTCATCACATAAAAACCATAATCCTCACAGATGATTATAAAAAAATTTCTTAAGAAACATTTACAATACAACTTTTTTGACACATTCATATTATCAGAAGATGCCTCACTAAGAAGGTTGTTTTTTAAATGTAACATATAAGAAACAATCCAATCATTGTCAGAGTGTAATGTATGTGAACAATGCAATCATAAGCATGAGACATCAACATCAGTATTGTTGCATTTGGCAATACTAATTTAGATTACCTTAGAAGCATTCCCCACCATTTCACTCTGAAGTTGTATCACATTCTCTTCAAAGCTGTATGTCCCTTTCTGGAAGCACAATGTCAAATGACACCTTAATAGCAGAGAGGGGAACTAGAAGGGAATAAAAAATGAAAGGCAAGAAAGTAACTAACCCCATGGACCTAGAAGCAATGAAATGATCAAGACCTTTATGTTTAAACAGTTAAATTAAGGAAGAAAGCTATAAATCAAACATATATTTGGAAGAATATATCAACATGACAAGAAAAACAGTGTATACATAACGCATTGCATAACTTATGCATCAATGCATATAGAGGGAAATTTATTGCAAGCAACTGGGTATAATAGATTGAATGCAATGTTTGGAAAATTGGGACTCAAAACGTAGCAGAAGTGGACTGTTTTGCCATAGAGTTTATTTGGAGCAAAATACAGAATAATTGGAGCAAAGTACAAAATAATAAACATGTGCCTGTTGTTTGACAAGTAACAAAAAAAGTCAAGGATTGAGGTTGATCCAAAGGGTATTACTCATCAAAATTAAATCAATTCCCAAAATTTCATATTCAAATAGAGTTGTCTCAAAATTTAAACTGAGGAGTTATGCATATTAAGAGTCCATGGAGCTTCTAAACCCACCCCATTCCTATAGCATACGGATTATACAGACACAAGTATGAAGCCAATTGGTCAAACAGTGTATCCGTAACAAAAACCAAATCAAATTGAAAAATAGTACCTGAACTTCCACAAGACCATTGCTTTGAGCAATCACAACTTCAATGGTGCCATCAGGTTTAGGACGCCAGTATCCACTCTCACCGTGCATAGGCTCTCCAGAGCTGAGTTTCCATGTCTTCTGAGTGTACCCTATCACAGGCTATACCCATTTCACACACAACCAAACCAAATAAACAGAATCAGTTCACAACCACCCGCAAAAGAAGAGAAACAAGATGAATTAAACTGAAGTCCTCAGCATATATCATCATAAATGGTTAAAAGAAGAATGTAATCGAAAAACACAAATAATGTAAATTTAATAGTTCATTGCCATATAATTAGAAGTCATTTACTTTTCTGTACTTTAAACATCATGTTTCGGATAATCCTTAAATTTTCTTTGCCTGAGTGAGAATTGTATTTTACCATAAACAATCTTACTAGTCACATATAAAGGGCGAAATTGTTCCTTAGCATATTCCGGATCTGAACTAGTACTACTGGATAAACTGAAACAACATCGTACTAGTTGATTTACTTTTGAATTGATTGACCATGTAAGCTAATGGTGTATTAAAATAAAATTCTTAAAAAAACAAAAACAACCCAGTAAATAAAAAGAGAACTTCAAGGGACCCAGATAGTGTTTATGGAGAAAGAGACAGGAAAACCTTGTTGGGGGAATGGGAGAAGAAAAGCTCTTCGCCATAGGAGAAGGAATGTATAGTGGGGAAGCCTCCTTCTCCTTGGCCCCTCCAAGTGCCCAGAAGGAAGGAGAGCGGTGCCACCGCGGGGTGTATCACAGGCGGTGATGTTGCCGGCGTCGGAGAATTCTTTTCAGCATCCATCTCTGTTTTTCTTTGGAAAATGTTTATGTGAACCCAATTATTGTAGAATCCAAAATGGGCTATTTGGATTTATTGCTGTAACTTAACTTGTGTGTTACTTTGTTCTGTGTTTACGAAGGAGATGATAGCTAGATAGACGTCCAAAAGCTGGTGACTTTCTAAAAAAAGAACATATCTACTATATAAATTAAAATTTATATAAATATAATTAAAATTTAACATAAATATTTTATTTTGTAATAATAATAATATTTTATTATTTTTATTATGAAAACATATCTAAGTTATCTGTATATTTTTCTAATAAAATATATTCTATCATACAATTATTTTCAAACATGTGATAATTGAAACAACTAAAATAAAACATTTAAATCTAAATGAAAAATAACTCATATATGAAAATGGGTTAATTAATAACATGAAATTTACATTTAGGTTTTTATTAGTTTAGCCCTTATATTTCTTTTTTACTAAATATTTGTTAATTAGAGATAATGTGATCACTTTTATTTATATTGACGTTAATTCTGTTTTGAAGGTGATGATCACATGGTGTAATTTGTAGTTTTCATATATTGTTAATTTATTTAAGAAAACTATTATACATGACCTAAAAATCTATTATTCTCACACATAAATGATAGCACGGAGATGGTAACCTTAATATAGGGTTAAATATGTTTTTAGTCCCTAAACTATTGGCCATTTCTGGTTTTCGTCCCTCTTTCAAAGTAAGGTACAATTTGGTCCTCATTCTTTAGAAAAACGTTCGTTTTAGTCCTCAAAATTTTGTTTTTAGTCCTCGTTTTAGTCCTCAAAACGTTCGCTTTTTCGACTAAAACGAACGTTTTTTAAAGATTGAGGACTAAATTGTACCTTACTTTAGAAGAGGGACGAAAACCAGAAACGGTCAATAGTTTAGGGACTAAAAACATATTTAACACCTTAATATATGAGAGATCCAATAATACGCTATTCAATATCCTTGATCTTCAATTTTCTTTTCTCAAGAGTCTTTCTTTTTTTCCTCTCACGTCTACTTATATTAAGAGTGACAAAAGTCTTATTCTAGACAAAACCTAAATTCCTTTATTAACCAACTTTCATATGGTATTACTTTTTTATTCTATTATAATTTCCATAATTATTTTATTTTATTAAATCGCATTTAGATCAATAATTATATTTCCCATGAGTAATATAATTGAATTAATTTATTAATTAATTCTAACACTTCTACACGCACATGTGATGTCATAAATGCTTTAATAATTACATCAATTATATTATGTAGATTATATTGGTTTCATTATTATTCATAATTAAATATAAATAAATTTAAAAAAAAATCATAGTGATTATGAGTACTATCAAAATGGATTTGAATCCTCGAGTCAACCCGATCCACCATGGATTAAGAATGGGTTGAGTTTAAGAAAAATTGAGATTTCGGTACGGACTAATTTTAAGTCCAGTTCACTAAGAAATCGGCTCTTCCGAATTGAACCCGTGGTGAGCCGATTTGACTCACAAACTCACCCAATTTTTTTAAGTTAAATAATCATATCACAAAAATAAAAACCCTAAACTTAATGCTCTCACTTTTCTAAGTTAATTTGAAGCAGTGCAGACCAACACAGATTGTGCTCTCTATAACACCCCAATTCTGGGATGTCACGAGTTTACAAAAACTTTTGAAAACTTAACTCTGATACCATTGCAGAATATCGATTGTATAAAAACTTCTATTTATTTTAACTGAATTTAGAAAACTTCATAAATCAAATGTAACTATAAAGTGTTCATAAAATTTCATTACAAAACTATCAGTGTTGAAATTTTAATCCCATAGTTCTCCCACGTATCTCGTTGCTCAACTTTGCTTTAGCTACACCTATAACAACATCTACTCTCGTAAAAAAAATACGATCATCGCAGGTGGAAGTCACAACCACAACATGCAAGGGTGAGCTAACAGAAACAAGTCATCAAAACAACTCATTAACAACTACACTATCAAAATTAAAGTCACCCGCATATAATCATACAATTATCTCGTCAAAATAACCAAATCACACTCAGACTCACTCGGTCACTCACTGACTCATACCTAATTTGTTGAAACCTTTCACCATATATATTGAATCACTACCGGTTACTTACATACAACTTCAAGGTTAAGTGACACCTCCCACAACTCTCTTAAAGATCTTCACCGGGATGGTACACTTTACGACACCATTACACTACGACATTTCCCACCACTCTCTCGAAGGCCACATTGGCAAGTAACCCATTTCCCACCACTCTCTTAGAGCTTCACCGAGCAAGTATACCACTTCCCACCACTCTCTTAGAGCTTCACAGGGCGAGTATACACTTTTCACCACCCTTTTGGAGCTTCGCTGGACAAGTATACACCCCCGCCACTCTACCATGAGAGCTTCACCGGGCAAGTATCAGGGTTACTTTCATTACTCTTCCAAAGTCATTCAACATTCAAACAATATAACAACAATTTAAAATCACACCCAACAACATAACACCAGTCCGAAAATCATCTCAAATAGACAATATTGTCATGTTATCTCAATCACACTACAAAACTCTACAATTTCTCTTAAAATAATACATTGCCACAGATAAAAATTAATTTAATTACATATACACAATATCATCATAAAATATAAACCACCATTTAATTAACACTAAATAAGTTTTCCTACGTTAAAACTATTTACTTTATTTATTTTATACTTTTATAGTTTATTCAATTTCTAATTAGATTCTTTTGAAACATAACAACAGTGTATCTTTCTAAACTAATATTATAAAATAATATTCGAAGAATTCCAATCAAATAACGGATTATGACAAACTTTATATAATATATTATTATATAGTATAAAAAAACTACTAAAACGGAATACCTATAAGATATAATATATAATATAGTATAGGTTTAATAGCCTATTTTGTCCCCAATTCTGTTGAATAATGTCAATTCAATCCCTCATTTTAAAAGTGTGTAAAATTGGTCTTTAGTTAATAAATTTTGCGTCAACATCGTCCTTTCCGTTAAATCACACAAACAGCGTTAGCTTTTTCTTTCTCTCTCTTCTGCTCCTCTGAATTCTTCTGAACACAACAACTTTTTCTACTTTTTAAACACATTTTAAATTTAAAAATCTAATCTTGGTCTTTTTTTGTTTCTTTCGACTCCCTTTTTCTTTTCTTCTCATGCAGAACCACATTTTATTATTTCACTTTCACATTTAAAACCTAGGGTGAAAATTTTTTAAACCCTATGAAATGACTTTTGGTTCATTGGAATGGGTCGAAGAACAGGAAGGCACGTTGTTCGGAGTCCCCTTGTGGTTGTACCCACTAACTTTGTCTTTAACCCCTAAACTGGGATTTAACCTCATCTTCTATTTCACTTATCAATATCCTTTTTTCCTACTTATCTTAATCTACTCTTCTCTTCAATCGTTACATTCTAATAATATCAACATATAATTTATTATCTTTTTTAGCTGGTTATTATCCTACTCTACAATTCTTTCATCAAACCTTTTTTTTGGTTCCTTACACTTAAGTGTTTCCGAACTAATCTCTATAGACCAAATTATACTCAATTCATTCCTTGTGAGTAGATTCTTAGTTTATGTAAGAAATCGGAATAAAGACATATGAAGTACTTGTATGAGTGATGATGTATATGAACCTGCAATCGTATTATTATTGTATATACAACTTATATACAAAATACTCGAGTTTCAAACTCAACCAATTACAACACCCAATTAAAGCCCTATTGGTCCATACAAGTAGATTTTAGCACCGCATGGCCAATTGGGAGAAATTCAAAAGTTTACCCTGTCATTCATTATCTGCAAAAAATTTTGAAGAGAACTTGAGCAACAAGACATGATGTTCTCTTTGTAGACGATGATGTTTCAAAATAAGTTGGTCTTGGAGTAGAGGGGCAACATATAGACTGAAGCAATTCTTCCACACGCAGCACTTTAAATTTAGGACGTGTGTTGGGAGCAACATTAATTGTCAACACAGTGTTGGAAAATCTTGCCATTGTTGTTAAGTTTATACTCTGAGGTTCCATCGAACCTCCCACGGTTCTCCCATGGACCTCGTGAGATTCCATGAACAGTCCACCGAACCATAATGACATTCTCATCAGGCTGCCACACGTTGGATAAGTCATTCCACAAAGCCTTGAAAAACATCCTGCCATGAAATCGTAGAGCCTAGAAGATTAATTTGTAACTCTCAATGCCAACGAACGTGTTCAAAGGATCTTTGAGTACAATATCATCGCTAAATGAAAGAAATAGATATGTTTATAGACACATCATTTTTAACCCAATTGTCTTGTCCTTTTTTAGCGGAAGTTGTAGAGCTTATTAGTTCTAGGGTTAAGGTAGTGCACTTTTTTCGGGACCAAGAACAGTTCTGAGCAATGGATGAGAATGGACATGGTGATGGGTGGGATTTTTGCGATGAAAGTGAAAGAATAAAATGTGGTTATGCATGAGAAAAAAAAGAAAAAGGGATTCGAAAGAAACAAAAAAAAACAAGATTAGATTTTTAAATTTAAAATGTATTTAAAAAATAGAAAAAATTGTTGTGTTCAGAGGAATTCAGAGGAGTAGAAGAGAGAGAAAGAAAAAGCTAATGTCGTTTGTGCGTATTTAACGAAAGGGATGACATTGACACAAAATTTACTAAATGAGGACTAAATTCACACACTTTTAAAATGAGGAATTGGATTGACATTATTCAGCTAAACTGGAAACAAAATAGACTGTTAAACCTATAGTATAATATATTATATAATATACATTAACCTAAAACACAAAGAAATCTTACCGCATACGTAACATACCAAAACTTTTGTTGCACCAATAAAAGACTTTGCATTTAATTATTACACTATTCCAATTTCTTAAACTTGGCCCTACTAACTTACTTTCCATCAACTGTTAATCTCTCACAGTCCTACCTTACCAATCTATTGCACATACACGTGAATCAACCTTAAAACTTCAAAAGCCATTTTACTTCTTTATTAGGC